CTCTGGACTGCAAAGTTGATTTGAACCACAAGTTCACCAGCTGCTCCTCGGAAACCCTATACAGAGTTGCTATGGGTCAACAATAATGAAAGATGAAATCTGGCCATCCTGGCTTCCAAGGAGTATCCTTGCTGTACTTCTTCCAACCCAGATTTGTTTGTTCTTCTGGTGAGCCATGGCACTTTTAATATTCTTCTCTAATGCATCAACTCAAATGCATCAATTTTTCTACTTTCTTCCTTATTCATTGTCCAACTTTCACATGCATATAAGGCTATTGAAAATACCATGGCTTAGTTCAGGTGTACTTTTGTTTTCAAACTGATAGTTTTGCTCTTGAACACTTTTAAGTGGTCTTTTGCAGCAGATTGGCCACATACAATACAGCATATGATTTCTTAACTGTTGTTTCTGTGAGTGTTGATTGTGGATCCAAGCAAAATGAGGTATTTGACAACTTCAATATTTTCTCCATTTATCAAAATATTATTTATTGGTCCAGTTGTGAGGACCTTTACATCAAGGTGCAATCCATACAGGAGGCTGTGGTCTTTGATCTTCATCAGTAAGTATTTTAAGTATTCTTCGTTTCCAACAAGCAAGGTTGTATCATCTGCACATCACAAGTCATTAATAAGTCTTCCTTCAATCCTGATGCCATGATCTTCATATAATCCAACTTCTCAGATTAAATGCTCAGCACACCTGTTGTGACACTGTGGGTTAATGCACCAGACTGCAAAGCCATTTGAACTTCAAGGTTGGCAGTTCAAGCTTTCCAGTCACTCCTCCGAAACCCTATACAGGGTCACTATGGGTTGGAACCAACTGGACAACACATAACAACAACAACAACAATACAGATTGAGTAAGTATGGTGAAAGAATGCAACCCTGGCATACACCTTTCTTTATTTCAAACATTTGGTGTTCCCTTGTTCTGTTTGAACCATCGCCTCTTGGTCTATGTACAGATTCCTTACGAGCACAATTAAGTGTTCTGGGATACCTATTCTTCTCAATGTTATACATAGTTTGTCATGCTCCGCACAGTTGAAAGCCTGTGCATGGTCAAAAAATCTTTCTGGCATTCTTTGCTTTCAGCTAAGATCCATTTGACATTAGCAATGATATCCCTAGTTCCATCGCTCTTCTGAATCTGGCTTAGATTTCTGGAAGTTCCTTGTTGATGTACTTTCAACTTTTCTGAGTTATTTTAAGCAAAATTTTACTTAATATGATAGTAACGATATTGTTACAGGATTTTTGCATTCTGTTGAGTCACCTTTCATTAGAATGGGCACAAATATGAATCTCTTCCAATCAGTTGGCCAGGTGCTGTCTCCCAAATTTCTTGGCATACATGAACGATTGCTTCTAGTCCAGCATCAGCTTGTTAAAATATTTCTATTTGTATTCTGCCAATTCCTAGAGCCTTAATTTTTGCCCATGTCTTCAGTGTAGGTTGTACTTCTTCCTTCAGTACCATCGGTTCTTGAAATGGTTTAACATCAATCATTTCTTTTGGTAAAGTGACTGTGTATTCTGTCCATCTTCTTTTTTGTTGTTAGAACAACTCAACAAAATAAAATTCTGGTTTATTGTTGGACAACATTGTTTCACACATACATCAAACAGGCCCCTCCCCCTGCCAAAAAACAAACAAAACACACACACACACAGAAAGACCAGCAACTTGAGAGACAAAAAAAAAAAAAGGAAAAGAAATCTTTTATCTTCAGACTTTTTAATCATTTCATACAAACCTACTACTTATAGTACAGCTAAGTACATACACAAAAAAAAGTCACTGGCATGCTCAGAATAAGATTGTAATTTTGTTGTTGTTTTTCCTTTTTTTACAACTTTTTTTTCTCCTTTGAGATTATAATGAACATGGTCACACCATAATTAAAGTCAGAATTAGGACAAAGAATGCTCCAAAGGCTGGTTTGGTTATCTGAGATCATTAAAAATGACTGACCCCTAACAATATACAAAAAAATATAAAATGTAAATGAAAAATACAAATTTTCCTTTTCAAAGTACTTTTAACGGCCTTGGAAGTTTTGGTTCCTTGTTCTTCCCTGCTGCAAATTCACCTTGTGGTTTTGGTTGAACATGTGCTTTCTGCAGTGATGCTGCCCAAAGTGGGTTGGTGGGACTCTGTCTACTTGAAGATGATCATGTTCAGATTCTGAGACAGGAAGTAGAGGGTGAATAGGTCATGGTGGCATTATTATTATTATTATTATTGTTATTGTGAATTGAGTAATAGTTCACATAGGGGAACATCAGTTTTCCATTCATCATTTCATTGCAATGATTACAATCTCTTCCGTGCATTATCAATCGACAGTATTTGCTTCTACTCCCTCTGTTTGTTTGGTTTTTTTGTGTGTGTGTGTGTGGGGGGGGATGTACACAAGAATACTCAGGAATATATAATCATTTAAACAACCAAAGGTCACATTCTGTGAGCCTGCCTCCTGGCCACCAGCTCCTAGTCTTTCTCTTTCCATGAGTCTAGAATCCTCAGCTGCTTTATTTCTCCATGCCCTCATCTTTGTCTCCATCTCTGGTGTCACTGCTTCTCTGGATAGGGTCCCACATTCCGCTTGTGCTCTTGTCCCTTGATGGTCCTAGGGTCCTCTGTTCCTGGAATGTAAGATTAACTACCCCACTCTTTTTGTTATACAACTTCTACCTTTACAGTTGTGACAGTTGCAATTAGTCACGATAACAATTATTCACTATTGAATCATAAGAATCTTATACCCATTTCTTTTCACCAGCCCCATCTAGATAAGATGATACTATTCATTAGGTTTCCTACCTTCCCCCTCATACTCTGAAACTAAACTCCCTCTTAAAAACTTGTAAGCCAGTCACTTTTTGCCTTTATAGCTCCTATTTTAGGTAGCCAGTGTCTAAGTTGCCTGGCCCTAGCAACCCTGTATACAGAGGGGCTAGGACTGGTTCTTGATGTGGAGACTCTTTCCCATTCAGTTGCTACTTTGAACTATTACATCCATAAGTATAGGTCAAGTTCATCAAATTGTAGTGATTTACACTTGTTTCCTTTATAAAAAAAATTTTTTTTTTTTTAATATTCTGTAGTCAAGTTCTGATCATCAAGCCATAGAAGCTAGGTTGAATGGGTATTATCTACAGACACAAGTCTGAGCATTCTTTTGCGTATACCCTCATTTCATATCAGCCGGATGCTTCACTTTCAACTCTAGCCTTCTGTGGCTATGTCCTTGTCCATGGGCTCAGGAGTCCCCAGATCTCACTACACTTTGGACCAACCATCTCTTCCTTTTCTCTCTTATCTCCAGGTCGACGGGAGTCTATGGAACGTGGTTGAACTTGGACCATTTCTTCATTGCTGCCTTTCCCCTTCTTCCACTCACCAGGCAACCAACATGGTCGCCAGCAAGTTTACATACCTGCTCATGTGTTCCCTTTGAGTTTCAGTCTTGGAGGGGAGTTTGGGACATTCATTAAAAAAAAAAATTTTTTTTATTTCGTTGTTGTTGAGAATATACACAGCAAAACATATTGCAATTCAACAGTTTCTGCAATACAATTCAGTGGCATTGATTATGTTCTTTGAGTTGTGCAATAATTCTCACTGTCCTTTTCTGAGTTGTTCCTCCCCTGTTTACATAAACTCACTGCCTCCTAATGTTTCTGTCTAATGTTTTGAGTTGCCAGTGTCAGTTTGACCCCATATAGATAAATATTGAAAAAGCACAATGCTCAAGCCAGACATTCTCTACTACCAGGCTCAACTATTGTTTCGTTTTAAGAAGACTTCAGGAATATTTTTGGATTAAGGTTTAAAGATAATCTCAGGACAATCGTTCTAGGAGTTCATCCAAACTTCATAGCTCCAGGAAGTCTATTGGCCATGAGAATTTGAAATTCTGTTACATATTTTCTCTTTTGATCAAGATTCTTCTATTGAATGCATGGCAGTGTTCCATTCTTCTGGTTTTGTGGCAAAGGAAGCAGCTGTTCATGGAGGCAATTAGCCACACATTCTGTTGGTCGTCGTAGTGATGTGCCGTGGAGTTGGTTCCAGCTCATAGATACCCTGTACAGGGTTTCCAAGTCTGTAAACCATTTTTTGTTTTTTGTTTTTGTTTTTTAAGTTTTTGTTGTGAATTATGTGATAGTTTACATGGGAAAACATTAGCTTTACATTCATCCTATCATATATCATTTCATTGCCATGATTACAATTCCCTCCATGCATCATCAAACAATCCTGCAAGCCTGCCCCTCAGTTGTCAGCACACAGCCCCTCTCCCTCTCTGGGTCTAGAGTCACCGGCCGTTCCATCTCTCCATGTCATCATCTCTGCCTCCATCTCTGGCATCACTGTTTCTCTGGGTAGGGTCCAGCACTCCCCTCTTCTCCCTTTATGGTCACAGGGACCTCCACTCCTGGATTGCAAAGTCAACAACTCCCCTCCTTTTGCTACAAAATATCTACCTTTACATTTCCAACCCTCACAGTCAGTCCTGATAACAGTTATTCACTATTGTACCACAAGAGATCTATTCCCATCTCCTTTTATCAGCCCCGCCCATACAGATTGGATACTACTCAGTGGAGATTCTACCTTCCTTCATGCCCTCTGGATCTAGGCTCCCTCTTGAAACCTTGTAAACCAGTCACTTCTTGCCTTTGTAGCCCTCCCATTTTGGGTATCCAGTGCCCAAGTTTCCCATCCCTGTGTACACTATGTACTGAGGGGGTGGGAATGATCCTTGCTGTAAAGATTTGTTCCCTCTTTTGAGCTACTGCATCCATAGGTGTAGGTCAAGTTCATCAAATTGTATCAGATTACTCTGTTTTTCCTCTTCTTTCTTCTTCTAGTTGAGCTCTGATCATCCAGCCATTGAAGCCAGGTCAAGTGGGTATTATCTGCAAGTGTGGGTGTTCTTGTACAGTGGCCTTTTTTAAGTTTAACTTTTCCCTTTTTGCTGTCTAGTCATCCTCATTGGTCTTCTGCTTCTTAGTGTCAACATCATCATTCTCATCATCTTCAGCTGCCTGTTTGCCTGTAGCTGCCTCAGCCTCCTCATCTTCATCTCCATCTTCTTCCTCACCATTACCTTCTACCTCTTCCTCCTCCTTCTCCCCACCTTCTTCCTCTTCCTAGTCTACCTGATTGTCAGCTTCCTGTTCCCCAGTTTTCCTCATTAGTATTCCCATTACTGAGTGCATCTCTTACATTTTCTGTTTGCTCCACACCTTCTTCTTCTCCTTTAAGTCCTTGGTGGTGATCTCAGAGCTGGTGTCCACAGCCAAGTTTAACACTGTGGGGCAGCCAGTGATCAGACATAGAGTATGACAAAAAGAGTGTAAGTTTTGGGGACTTCTGAGAGCTGCCAAAGTCTTCAGCAAAGGAAGAGGAGCACAGCGGAGGTGGCTTCAGTGAGCGGGGACCCGGACCAGGAACAATGCAAAGATGACTTTCCAGAGCACCCACTGGGGGGCCCTTCCATCTTCTTTTAATGCTTTCTGCAACGTTCAATATTTTGCTCATAGAATCCTTCAGTACTTCAAATCGAGGCTTGAATGTTTTCTTCATTTTGTTCAGCTTGAGAAATGCTGAGGTTGTTCTTCCGTTTTGATTTTCTAACTCCAGTTCTTTGCAAGTTTCATTATAATACTTCACTTTGTCGTCTAGATAGAGCTGCCCTTTGAAATTTCCTGTCCAGCTCTTTTGCCTCTTCATTTTTTCCATTCTCTTTAGAATATCTACACTGGAGAGCAAGTTTCAGAGTCTCTTCTGACATTCATTTTGATCTTTTCTTTCTTTCATGTCTTTTTCATGACATTTTGCTTTCTTCCTCTATGATGCTCTTGGTGTCATCCCACAATTCCAATCCTATTTCCTAGGTTCTAGGGAATAGCCTAACACAAGCATTCTCTGTTCAGATCAGACTGAGTAAATAGTCTTAACAGACACCTTACATAATTCCTCACCAAGCTAGAGATTCTGACATCTGCTTTCTTTCTGTTGCATGTAGGTAAACTTTAACAAAGAGGCTGAAAGGACTTTTTATGGCAATAGAAATTCAGATTTCCATTTTTTGCAAAATAGAGTTTTAATTTAGGCCCATTTCAACCATGCCATCCAACAACTTGTGCTTCCGCTAGTATTAATGTGTAGATAACATTTTTGTCGCTGTTAACTGAGAGTATAGCTTGAATTAAGGGATTTGGGGGAACCATTTAACTTAATTACTGCTTAATTTTGAAGTGTCTTTATAAAAAAGTAGGGTTGGCACAGATGCAACAATAAGGAGGACTAGAAGACGAGGTCACACTTACATATCTTCCCATGGAAACTATTTAAATATTTGTTTTATTCACTTTTCAAACATCTTACTGAAGAATGCACCCAACTGATAAGTATTTATAGCTTGTCCAGTGGCAGAAAGGGCCAAAGGCTTAGTGTTGTGAACTGTTTTAAAAACAAAGTACCTTGAAATATTAAATATATATATATATATATACATCTTCTTCAATTTGTCATTCCCAGCATAGGAGACTACATGATTGGCTGATTCAAAATGTCCAATCCCAGTCCACTTAAGATCACTAATGCTTAAGATATCTATTTTCAAGCATTCCATTTCGTTTTGACAACTTCCAATTTTCTTAGATTTATACTTCATACATTCTACATTTTGTGAATCTTTGTGTCTGTTTCTTCCCATTTTGAGTCATGCCACATTAGTAAATGAAGGTCCCAAAGCTTTACTCCATCCATTAAGATCAACTCTACTTTGAGGAGACAGCTCTTACCCAAGCCATATTTTGAGTGCCTTCTAATCGGTGGGACTCGTCTATATCAGACATTGTTCTGCTGCTTTCATAAGGAGTCTCAGTGGTTTGGCAGTTAAGATATCTAGTATGATGTAATTACTTCCATGATGAGATATGCTATGAGCAGCCAGTCACTTGAAAGGGCATTTCCTCCAGGGTTTGGCCTGCTTCAAATATAGTAGACACTGAGGCACAGACTACTTGATTAATGCTGGGTCTAGATCCTGCACCTGGCTTTTCATCTGATCTCTGGTTCTTTGAACTTGAGCCAGCAGCATGTCATATTTCTGACTGACCCGGGGAGTCATCAGCACCCTGCCATTTTACCTGCCAACCTTGGATTCATTCACCCCTGCAGACAGAAGCCTGTCATTGGACCTGCTGATCTTGGGCTCATCAACCCCTGTTGACTATGTGAGTCAGAAGGAGCCTCCAGTCTGATAGCTGGCCTACTTTTACAACAGTATGAATCATTTACTTGATATAAACCTCTCGATATATATATACAAGGAGCTCTGGTAGCGTAATGGTTACAAATCAGGCTGCGAAACGCAAGGTCAGCAGTTCAAAACTACCAGCTATTCCGTGGGAGAAAGATGAGGTGTTCTGCTCCCATAAAGATTGATAGCCTCAGAAACCCTGTACAGGGTTGCTATGAGTCGGAACCGACTCCATGGCACACAGCCACCACCACTATATATACAAGGGAATCCTGGTGTGGTGTTGTGCGCTAGACTGCAAAGTCAGTTTGTACTTTAAGGTTAGTGATTCAAGCTCACCAGCTGCTCCTCGAAACCCTATACAGGGTTGCTATGGGTAGGAACTGACTTGACGGCACTTAACAATAACTACATACATACAAGAGTCCTGGTGTGGTGGTGTGGGATAAGCACTGGACTATAAACTGCAAGGTTGGCAGTTCAAATCTGCGAGGTGCTCCTTAGAAATCCTATGAGTTGGAAACAATTCAACAGCAGTCAACAGCAACATGTTGTTGTTGTTGAGTGCTGCCAAGTCAGTTCTGACTTGTAGCGACCACATACATGGTTTCCAAGGAGCAGCTGGTGGGTTGGAACTGCCAACCTTGTAGTTCAAGCCAACCTTTGAGCTCAGTGCTTATCCTATAATGCAACACCAGGACTCCAACAACAACATATACGTACATATACATGCTTCACTGGCTTTGCTTCTTTAGAGAGCCCAGTCTAAGGCACTAGGTGAGAGTAAGTGAATGGTCAGAATAAAGAAGCAACACTTAAAACTTATTTTTCTTGGATAAGCAAAATAAAACTTTCTTGCTGATGTCTATTAGTTAGGACTTCTGGTGTGGCACTATTGGATAAGTACTATGAATCACACCAGGTTAAGAGTCCTGGCACTGTGGATTAATGTACTGGACTGCAAAGTCGGTTTGTACTGCAAGGTCGGTGATTCAAGCTCACCAGCTGCTCCTCAGAAACCCTATCCAGGGTCACTATGAGTCAGAACTGACTCGATGGTACTTTCCAAGAATTGATTAGAAAATTCCATTATTGTTAGGTGCTGTTGAGTCACACTAACTCAGAGTGACCTTATGTACAATGGAAGAAACCACTGCCCAGTCCTGTTTCAACCTCACAATCATTGTTACACTTAAGGCCATTGCTGCAGCCACTGTGCCAATCGTGTCTTTGGGGGGGTTCTTCCTTTTTTTGCTGACCCTTCACTTTACCAGGCATGATGTCCTTCTCTAGGGACTGGTCCTTCCTGATAATATGTGTGACGTATGATATATGAAGTATGGCCATCCTGGTTTCTAAGGAACATTCAGGCTATATTTCTTCAAACACAGATTTTTTGGCAGTGACAGTATTCTCCTCCAACACCAAAACTCAAATGTATCAATTCTCCTACGATCTTCTTTATTCATTGTCCAACATTCACATGCACCTGAGGTTATTTGAAAACACCATGGCTTGGGTCAGGTGCACCTTAGTTCTCAAACTGACATGTTTGCTTTTGAACACTTTGAAGAGATCTTGTGCAGCAGATCTGCCTAATGCAATATGTCATTTGATTTCTTGACTGCTGCTTTGATGAGTGTTGATGGTTCACCTAAGCAACATGAAGTCTTTGACAACTTCAATCTTTTCTCCATTTATCTTGATGTTAAAATCCATCATACACATAAAGTAAAGAAAAATATATAATTAATACAGGGATAATAAAATGTAAAAAGCACAAATAAAATGAAATGCCATTCTATTTTCTCATTAAAACCCATAGTATTTTTTACTTGCTTATTTTATTTGTTAGATACAACTTTTAGGGGGTGATTGTTCATATAACTCACCTCCAGTCTTTGCCTGATTTTATTATGGGTTTTGTTTTTTCATTACAAAAAGTAGCCTATCACACATGACCCTGTGATTTGCCTCTTCTTAGCCTCCTCTTTCTCTTGGGTCTTTCACAACTTCTAGCTGCTGCTTCTCATTTATGTGTTCGAGACCTGCCCTTTCCTCTCTTTCAAAATTATCTTTCTGTAAGGAGTCCTGGTGTGGTGTTGTATGATCAGCACTGAACTGTGAACCACAAGGTTGGTGGTTCAAACCCATTAGTCACTCCTTGGAAATCCTGTACAGGTTTCTGTGAGTCAGAACTGACTCTACTGCACATAACGACAACAACAAGGAAAATTATCATTTTTTTCCACTTATTCCTTCAAAGAATAACAACTCTGCACATGTTGGGGTTTCCTGTTATTCTTCATAACAATATAGAATAATGTAGCTCATTTCTAACTAATTTCATAGTTAAGAAGGGTTTTTTTTTTTTTTTTTTAAGAGATTGGTTAATTTTGTTAAATAAAGTTCTGTCAGAAAATGAAGAACTTATTTCTAATAATTTATACTTTTCTACTACAATTTCTTTAAAGGAATTCAGGCCTTGGTGATTTCTGCAACAATTTGAAAGTGTGGAACCATTTCTAGTTTGGTAACTGATAGAAAAAAAAAAAAAAAAAGTACAATTGGGTCAAAATTTAACAGTAAGAAAACCACTTCACATATGTGAAGTTCCATATTATTTTGCTATGCCTTCCTTCATTCACTTATTCAGTAAATATTCATTTAAAACAGCTGTGTTATGTTGGCTTAGCTGGGCCTGGATTCTCAGTGGTTTAGCAGTTAAGACCTAGTAATCTCTCAATGATGATATCTAATCTAATATAATCACATTCATGATGTGATCTGCTACAGGCAGTCAATCAATTAAAGGGAGTTTCCCCTGCTGGTATGGACTGCAGCAAAGATAAAAAGAGATGTGAACAGAGAGGGAGGGATATAAAACTGTCCACTTGTGGCATTTTGGTTACTGTTGTTATTAAGGGCCATGGAATCAGTTCTGACTCATAGCAACCCAGTATAGGGTTTCCAAGGAGCAGCTGGTGTGTTTGAATCACTGACCTTGCAGTTCAAACCGACCTTGAAGTTCACTGCTTATC